CTATTCTCTTTTATATATACAATCTTATATATTATATTAAACTCATTAAATTTTTAATGAAAATAAAACATACTAAGAAATATTTTTATTTAAACATGTATACTAAATACTGACAAATAATTATTTATTTTTGATATTATAACAAAACAATAGTAATATTCCTTTTTCCTAGATTATTTCTGTTTAACAAAAATCTGTCAACTGTTAACAATCAATCTTAAAAATAGGAACTGATAAATTTTTATTAAGTTTTTATTATTATTATGGTGGTGGTGATGAAGTTTATCCTACTATATACCAGCGCCTAATGCTAAGCTGAACCAAAGTCAGTGCATAGCTAGAGAAAAAAAAAAGTTGCTTTGTTTATATGCTGTTTGTGTATGTATCTGTATTTAAGAATTTCCTGACTATGTGACATGTGTTTTATATGGCAGCTTTCTGTAATATGATATATGTGCTGTTGTGAAGCCTTAATGTCTCTAGACTTTTGTGTAGTTTATATGTATGTAGAGCTGAACCTGTTCTTAATTAAAACAACAAAAATATTTCTCTTAGTAAATAAAACATTCTGCTTTAAGTAAAATATGACTTGAATGAGGAACCTGTCAATTCAGATTAAGCCTGCCAGTAAATAATGTGCAAAAATGCAAAACAAGTTCCTAACTATAAAAAAGTCATGGGTGAACAAATTAAATTAAACTCTATCTTTCAAGGAAGTGGAATATTTTAAAGAATCATTTGATACATATAATGCATTGTAAACAATCATAAATATTTATCACAAGTAGAAACCTTTTAGCTATTTTGTTAACTTTAATTTGATGTATCAAATTGTAAAAATAAACCCTAGCTTATAAAGATATTATGTTTATTTTAAATAACTAAATAATTTAATAAATAAATTTTAATAATTCATACATTATATTAAATATTTAACAATTAAAACTTTATATTAAGTTGCATTTTATATTAATTAAAAATATATATTCAAAAGCACAAGAGATTACTATATTATTATATGCATTCAATGCTAAAGATTTCATAAATTTACATTTAAATTCATTCAAAAATGAGACGTTTCAATAAACTTAAATCATTTAAATAACTAATCTGTCATTCTGTTTTGAAATGACACAAAACGATCTTGTTACAAGTCAAACAAAATAACTGAATTATATAATTGAAATGAAATTTTTATATTCCTGACAATTTCAAATTATTTCCCATTAAATGTATGGACAGAAGTGAAAATTGTTCGAAACGAATTCGATAAAAAAAAATCGTTTTAAAGTGAATCTTTTACACAAATTTCATTTTAAAAATCATTTTGAGATTTTATCAAAAATACAATTTACAGATGTCAAAAAAACTTTTTTTTGGCAAGAATCCAATAAAGATTAGTTATTTGTATGCGAGTTTTAGACAATGTTATAAAAACTCTTGTTCCGAATACGATTAAATTTTACACTTAACATTCTTACAAGTCTAAAAGAATTATAAAAGTATAACACAATAAGTTATCCTTTTTTTAATTTATAAACTTTACAATACCATCGGAAAATATTTCTAAACATTTTCATAATGAAAACAAAATAATTTTTCCTTTTTTTATGATAAACATTAATTTGATTATGTGTAGAACAAGTCAAAATTTGATACTTGCGGTTCGATTTTCAAATACGCTTATCAGAACTAAATATCAATGCTATATACATTAAATGCATAAGATTATCTAAAAATAGTAATAAAAACTGTACTAAGATTTGCATCGGTAAGACTATACGTATTATTTTTATTTCAGCACTATCGAGTTATATATAACGAAAGTATTGTAATGCTACTGTATATAAATGAAAGACGTTCTTCTTAAGTTTTTATTGCTTCACTAATCATTGTGTACAGTAGCATTCCTATAAGTAACGATGCAAGATCCATTATATTCTTACTCTGGTAGATTCTTCAATTTTCGATATCCAACGCAATGTTTCTTACACACACACATATATATATATATATATATACACACTACAACTGTCATTAATCATAAATACTGAAAGTTTTGCTATGTGTACATCTTGACAGAAACGACACAAACGAGAAAGTGTTTCTTTAAGTTTTATATTTATTTTTCGATACTGAATTACTTTTTGTTCGGATTACTTTTAAACCACCCTGTATATCTGAATAAATTTACGTATACATACGTATATAAAGCCTAATATTTTTAATTTTAAATTCTAGGAAAAATATTTTTTTTTAAATTCGTTTTCTGAACTGGCATTCAAAGAAAAATAAATTGAAATTTTATATGCAACATTACGTATATATAAAATAGGAGAAATATATACAAAAAATAAACTTATTGTAATTAAATAAAAGTAATAATTCTCATATAATTATAAATTTAGAGAATGCGACTTTGATAACCACTCCAATCTATCTTTCCAATACACGAACATATGCGATTTCGAAACTTGTCTCAAGAGTTTAATCAATTTTCATTTTGGATGTGTGACTTTCATTCAAGTTTAAAACAATTTACTCAAATTTTAACACTATTACTTTTACGTGAAACTGTAAATTCAGTTAATTCTGTTCTAGCTACGAAGAGGCTATGGAGAGATTTATAGCAAATAAATTGTTTCTATATACAGTATATACGTTTAACATTCATTTTTAAATAAAAATACTACTACTTTTAAGTTAAATTTTATAAAATCTATAAGATAAAATTTCGTATAGCTAAGTCAAAAATGGAAAAATGGCCACGTGGTAAAAGTAATAAGACACTATCTTCTAATCAAACATAATATTACTGTAATAAAAATTTTAACTGTAATTCTTTGATTTATGATTTTTTTCTTTCAGTAAATTCTATGAGTGATCACAATAATTTCTAACTAGGTGCCATATACTTGATAGGTCATCCATCTCGATTTATCCGTAACATTCTAGATTTAAAATTTATTATTTTCTTAAATAAAAACTCGTTTATCTATTAAAACATCTGTAATAAATCATCAATAATATATTCTATGGATAATATATACTCCAAGAATGAAAACTAAATAAATAAAAATTAAATCGTTTTGCTTTAAAACCAAAGTAACTATCAGAAACATACAAAAATAAAGCAAACACGCATAAATTTGAGTGATGATAGCACTAAATTCACTATAAATTTTTGGATGATTTTTGATTCTAGGCTAGATTTATTAGAGAAAAAGCTTTAATAATTAAAAAAGTAAGCTGCTTAAAAGAAATATAAAGTGTTTTACGAAAGTTGCTACTATTTTTTCAATTTTAAATTCTACTAAGTCATTTCTCTACATCGATTTGCAGATGCTCCATTATACGATATTTTGTTTTATTAAATTTATCTATGATAAATGAATTTCTGTAAATGTTGCATTTCACAGATAAATTTTATTTTTACCATTTACATCAATGATAGCGCCTTTTTTTTCGAAGTAGAACCAATGAAAATTGATAGCACTGTCTTTCCTCTTAGGAATCACGCCTATCCACCAATACGAAATATTTAAATCCAGAGAGGGACTGCAAATCTTATATAAAATAACGATGGATATATATTTTTCACAAAATTAGGAAAAAAAATTCTGTGTATATTTTGTAGTACGTGAAGATCCAACTTCATATTTTATTCAGATACCATAAAAAAAAGAAAGTTTTTATCAATGTTTTCTACGTTGAAGTAAAGTGGAAGAGTTCGAAGAAAAGGAAAAATATACGTGCATTTTAATTCACTATTTACTAAATTTTTGCTACGTAATCGAAAGAAAAATCTTGTGTTTTGTAAATACCAGAGCATCAGATAGGGTTTCCATTTAACCGTAAGTCAACATTCAGCATAGCACTCTGTTACCATAGCAACAGGTCACCGGGGTAACATTCCTCACCTTCCGTCAGGCTGAAGAAAGCGGAGACGGTCAACTATAATATGGCGACATTATCACGTGACATGTAAACAAGACGAGTTTAACGCACCCTCGCAATACTAACGTCAACAGAAATCTCATTAAGTTCACCGTATGTTTTTACTCTGCCAACTTCAAAGAAAAACTTCTTTAATATACACGCACATGGCTAAACGTTCAATTCGTAGGAAAAAGAGTAATCATTACCGGAAGCGAGTTTAATATAATTGTTTATAAAAAAATAAATAATATAAAACGAATTTTAAAATTATCTTTAGTTTCTAATAATATACTTAAATTTATATTATTATGAAAATAATTTTTAGTTAAAATTTTTAAACTTATTTAATTAAAAAATAAATAAATAAAATTTCTGCAAACTTTCATAGTGTATATATGTTACTATACATTAGAAATTGCTTTAAAAATACACACTACAATATATTCTAACAAATTTAAATATCTATAATAATTTAAGGAAAAGGTTTGAGAATAACGAGTTTAATTAATTTTTCATTTAATTTCAAAAACTTATACTAAAATTATACTAAGAATTTAATTTTTATATTATAAAATATTCCAACAACAACAACAAAAATTTCATACGTAAAAGAAAAATAATTTGTTTAAGAGATTTATAAATATTTAACAGGCGATAAGAATTTCTATATTTAGTATCATTTTTTCTCTGTAGTACATTGATATCTGATCAGATAAAGCAATGTCTGTACCTATTCAGTTCATTACTTTATGCAATAAATATCAGAAAAAAGAGCTTTCTGGTGGAAAATGAAAAATATCCTAACTAATTTGTCGCAATTTAATGAAGAAATTATGAGATTCGCGTTATATTCTGCATAATAATACTGTGAGGTATTACTTAAACAGCTGCCTCCACTTCCACTAGATCTGCACAGCTGTGAAGTTTCCATTAGAGAAAAACAGATCGTAGCAGTATCAATGATAGAAACAACGTTATTACCATTAATAAATATTATATAAATCATAAGAGAGACACCGATTTTATCTGTATTAATTCAGGTAAGCAACAGCAATAATTACCTGGTAAAACAGTAAGAGATGCTAGGGCTCTTACGGGTTCTCCTACTCCATTTTCGGCTACGCACTCGTAAGTTGCATTATCTCTGCCAGGTCGAACGGGTTCTATTCTCAGAACCGATCCATTTGGCATATCCTGTACGGCGTAACGTTGAGTAGTTACTCTCTTTCCATTTCTCCTCCATTCAATCTGTGGTTTGGGATTTCCGACAGCTGTGCATACGAAACTAGCGATGCCACCACTGGCAACTGTCTGATCGTGAGGATATTCTTCTATTCTTGGTGGATCTAGTTAAGAGAAAAAGAAACTTCAGAGAAAAATTTGTTATACGAATAAATAAATGAAGAGAAAAAAAATCATCCTATGTCGACACGTGATGAGCTCTGAATATTTTACAGATGTCGGTGTTTGAGATCTTTAACGTTCGGAGGGGATCAATGAATTCTTAAAATTGCGTACAAACCATCTGAAAAAATAAACAACCTAGAAGATGATGATTTATTATTTATTACCAGCGAACATTTTTTCCTCCTTCTTTTGATATATCCGTGTGAAAAACTAATTTATTTTCACTTATGGGATACAAAAACGATGATGTTCTTCAAAAAATATCCAGTACAAATTCGGTAATAGTTTCGACTGGCAGACAATTTTCCAAACCGAAATTTTGTCGGTTAAAGTACGTATCTTATTTTAGCTGTTATACATTAACCGAACATGCATGCTACTTAAGTCTGACAGAAATATCATGACTGATATAGGTGAAAGTTATATCTCGACTTTAATAGCGCCGTTACGTTGTTCCGCTCGAAAGCGTTAATAACCAGAAAATTTATGCTGGAACAAGTTTTCCTATAGACACTGGCATATTTTTAACCTCGTAAAAAAATGAATAGGCAATATATATATTAATGAAAATTAAACTCATGTACCCCTTTTACTTACGTGTCAAATATTTGACGTACTGTCTGTGCGAGTAGTTTCCTGTAAGGAACGTAGATAAGGTTCAGTAAAGATCAAAAATGTTATCTATAGTACGCTCCGTCTCTTCTGTATATACACAAGATAGAAAGAGAGACAGAAATAAAAGAACGTAACTTGTTCGAATCAATTGAAAGAATGACTTGCTTCCAATGTCAACAGCAATTCACTGCTATTTTCCTTCCTTTTCCTATTCCAATTTCCTAATGGTTTAGATACGACAATCGAGCTGAGTTGCAGGAATTTAATCTATTTAAACTAATGCATTCACAGATTTTCACTTTTTCATATTCCATGCATTACGACAGAAATATATTTTAACTCGACTTTTTTAACGCGATTATTTTAAATATTATATAATTGTAAACGAATCAATTTGTATCAGTTTAAAATTTCAACAACATAAATTATTAAATCATAAGTCAATTAAAAGCTTACACTTCAACATTTACCAATTTTCAATAATCCTAGCTGAAACGACAGCTGTGTTTAACTTTAATGATCTTCACAAAGTTTTCACACATACCAACGTTAATGTAGAAATAATATAATTCTATTGTTTTCCTATAAAATTTGCCAGCAAATGAATAGGAAAAATTACAGTTTGTTGCTGTTGTTTGTTCGTTAAAGAGAGATAAATCATAAATAGAAAGAATCAATAGCAGTAAATGATAACAGTAATTGTATAACAATACGTATTTGAGCGGCATTCACATCCTTAAATAATATTCTTTTTTTAAATAAAACAACTTATAAACTTTCACACATCTGTTAGGAAAATAATGAAGATTCATCTGTTAGATATAATTCCGGTGAAAGCACTTTCAATACAGAACTACAAAACATCAAATTACGTCTACCCTAGTCCATAAAAGTTTGTGTAACGTTGCTTTTGAAAGATTTACAACCTTAAAACACTATAGAATTTAGATAATATACCTGTAATTAGTTTACTAATCCGAAAGTAAATTAATGTTTTATAATTAGTTGCCGATTTTTATTAAGGTCGTATTAAATGTACAATTTTTAATTAAAGCTCAAAAATACTTATTACTTAAAAAATAATTTTTTTTGTACATCGCAAGCTTTTTATAAAAAGTTTTGATATTTTGTAGTTTTCAGTGAAATATATATAAAGATTGCTATTTATATAGGATTTTCTATATCGGGATTTCTGGCAGAGAACAATTATCTGTAACAGACAACAAGTAAGGGGGAATAGGGGGAAAAAACCATTCATGTCGGATCGGATAATCCCTAACACTTCGAAAGAAGTGGATTACGTGTAGCCGTTGAATGTCCGTTTCGTAACAATGAAATAAATGATTTTAGATTTCTTTTCTTAATTATTTTCACTTCTGAACTAAGCTAACTTCTCAATTTCTCTGGAGACTTTCGTAATAACAAACGTATAAACAAATTATAATAGCGTCTTTGTGTTTCCCACTTCAGTTATGCACGAAGTGGATTCTTACATATGAAAGCTGTAACAGATTTTTCTTCTTCTTCTTTCATTCTTAATAGTTAAGTGAACCACAAATTTATTTAACAGATGAAAGAACTAAGCAATCGGAGATAAAATATACTCCTTCTTCTAAATACACTTTCTGTAATTCCTAGAGAATAACAGCATCTATATTATTATTATTTATTAAGCATTTTACATTATTTCAGAATGGGTGAAAAAACTCTCAAGGTCGTTGTCATAAATAAAATTCTGCCGGAGTTTTACAATTCGTTTATCTAGTTTAATTTTCCAAGAAACATACAGAAACTGGGTGTGGCACGGCTATGATAATTAACTAAAAGTTAGCTTACCGATTTCTAATCTAAAAAAAACACAAAAATTTTAAAAAAATAATACGTGTATAAATGTATATTTAGCTCGAAATCAGTAGTCGTAAGACGTAGTCAGATGATGANAATTTAGCTTAAATCTAAGTGATATAGAATATGGAATTTATAAAATCTAAATTGGTTAATTTAAAATAAGTTTTTTAATTATAAATAACGTATCTGGGTGTGGCACGGCTATGATAATTAACTAAAAGTTAGCTTACCGATTTCTAATCTAAAAAAAACACAAAAATTTTAAAAAATAATACGTGTATAAATGTATATTTAGCTCGAAATCAGTAGTCGTAAGACGTAGTCAGATGATGATAAACAACGTAAAGAAAATGATGATCAGCAGTAAGAGAGCAGGGAAATAAGTCTTCCTTTCATTAACTAATAAGAACAAAGTGCACTCACCTTCAGCAGATGTAGGACGGAAGAGCCATTCGATAACGAAAAACAATAGAAAGAATCCAACTTTGGTCATGAGCATGGTGGCCCTATTTAACGGTACCTAGAAAAGGAATAAATAATTATATATAAAAGCATACTGGCCTGAATTAGTCAAGTCTTCGGCTAAGCCCAATGAAAACCATGTGGAAACAGAAGCGTAACTTGTCTCCACATGGAGTAAGGATCGCGCTCTCCTACCCACTGTCCAATAGGAAACACGTTGTCATGGTGATATGAAAAGTAAATGAAGAGTCGTCGGGAGCAGACGGATAATAATGAATTGTTTATTGATCTGAGACACGACCACTAGATAACACATCTAAAGCGCGGATTTAACAGGTGGCTGTTATCGTTTTGGACAGTAAAACCTGCCAAAAATATTCACGAAAACGACAAACATTATAATAATATCTGAAAAATTGCTATGCATTAAGTCATTATCTGAGAAATTCATAAATTTCTATATAATTTCGTCCAATTCTTTTTACAGACGGGAAAAAAACTGCTTTTTGTTTTCTGAAAATTCTCATCTATTTATTTATTTAAAATATAAGATAAATAAATAAATGCACGATTTATTATTTAAATTTTCAAATTTAAATTATAATTTTTTTAATCTTTCAACTGAAATATTAATCTTTAAGTATTTTTCTTCTATTTTCCCCATTTATTATTATTATTATTATTATTATTATAAAAATCAAAATTAAATTATAAATAAATTTTTAGAAAAGTATTTAAACTAAAATTCGATAAACTAAATCATTTTATATTAAATATATCAAAAGGAATTTCGTGTTTAAAACTGTATGTACGTAATTTGATTCTGCCTAATATTTAATGTATATGCTGATTTTTCATCTGAATCGGAACGATCGCTGCTAAATTATTCAACGTCGGAGAGAAACAAACAATTTCGAGACATCTCCGTACCTTTATCAAAAAAGAAAAAACTAAGCTTAAAAAAATGCTTTATTTAAAGCGAAAACAATAAGAAATCACGCGTTTTGCCTTATAATTAACGTAGAAAACGACAAGGAATACTTTACAACTCGCCAGAGACCACCTGATGCTGGGGGAGAAAAGCTTGCAATTTGTTAGATTGGTGTATGTACACACTATTCTCATAACTTATGTTACAACCCAGACGTAACCATAGCAACTGGGTGTTCCCTACCTGCAAGATTACCGTTCGAAGAACGAACTATACAGTTCGGCTACTAACCCTCATCTTACTCAGCAGAATTACTGATATATTAGAAAAGCGCGCTAAAACTTATATAAGGATACGACCTAATTCCCAACTTAACTTTTATATGGAAAGTTTGGCATTATTAAACACAAGTTTTTTCTCTCTCCTTTTATTTTATTTTTTCTAAAATATATATCGAGAGGGAGGTTTAAAGCCGAGTTCGGACTAAAAACGAATGATGGAAAAAAAAGAATGTGTAATTCCAAAGTTAAAAGAACACAGACAAGCTTTTAGTGAGGCATTGTCTACTGACATTTCTCATTATCAAACTGACTGTTTTTCTTGTAAAATGTAGGCCGAAAACAGATTTATGTTCCTTTGTAGGAATGGATCGATATTGGCCACACAAACAGACCAATAGGGCCATAATTCTGAAATTGGATTCTTACCTATGTTAAATTTAATCTACGACGAAGGAAAGATTGTTATTGTTTCGAAAATGCGATATTAAAATGTAAATCGATTTATTTTTATTTTCTTGAGAACTATTATTATCTCTAATACTACTTTTGTTGTTTTCTAGATACGTGATGAAGTGGACATGAACTGTGCACGAAAGAATCGATAAAAGAACTTTTTGGCCATGCGACAATTTATAGATAATTACTACATTTGAAACTTTCATTAGTACGTGTCCTTTATAATCAATCGATAAAAATATTTAATACACAAACCCACATTTTGTAATTGTTGTGTGTCATTGTATATACATTTTAGCTTCTGTGTAATATAAATATTTTCCTCCGTTAAGTGTTTATACACGCAAACCAATTTAGCTTAAATCTAAGTGATATAGAATATGGAATTTATAAAATCTAAATTGGTTAATTTAAAATAAGTTTTTTAATTATAAATAACGTATCTTAATTTTATTTTAAATTATTTTTAAATTTTTTTAATTGTAATTCGGGTACAAAATGTAATTAAAACAAAATCATACGAGTGTACAAAATGTATTTGTTGTATTTTACGAACTGTTAAATTTCACTTTGGGAAAGACCTTTCATGCCAATGAAATTGCCTTTTATTTCAATAAAATTAAGTAAATAAATAAATGTTCATCTTTAATATAAAAAACAATCAATATATATAAATTATATAGCCTATATAAGTTATATGTTCACACACATTCATATTATGTAAGTTCCCTGCCCTGTTAATACATTTTTAATTAAAGAGGAGATAGATTTTTGTTTAACAACCTTTCATCAACTAACAAAAAATATAATTTACCATATTATAAAACAACAAAAAATAGATTTAAATAAATAAAATAATTTAAAAAACATATTTTCCAGATTAAAAAATATCATTTGGGAATTTAAGATTTATTAAAAATTTAAAGTCATTATTTGTTTTTTAAATAAGTATTGATACAGTCGATGCACGAGTATATCATATACTAACATTACATTAAATAACTAGTAGTCCAGAGAGGAGGAGGAGGAAGACTGATATATTTAGAAAAATAAATAAATTCTAATCACTTTCTGACAAATAGATGAAAAATGTTTATGATACAGAAAATAAAATCGTGTAAAAGATTAACAGAAGAGAAAAAAAAATGTATATTAGAGAAAGTAATAAAATAATAGAATGTTCCTTCTAGAAAAAAAAACACTCGCTCTAGAAAAATAAATCTCTTTTTTGAGCAATCCTACATAACACACATACAGGCAATTTCTAGAGAATTATTTTGGCATTTACCTCAATAAAAAAAATTGAAAAGTGAAAGAAAATCGAGAAGAAATAAAATAAAAGCAATATGAAAACATTGCTTATAAATTGAACACTATAATTAATTCTTTAGATTGTAAAGCAGTTTCAAATACAACTGTATAAAAATTAATTATATTTTGTTTATTCCGAGTTTAAATTATGATAATGTAATGAATAAACAGGAAAAATGTTACGCTCATTTTTTTTTATTATTATAAACAAAGTTTCTTTACGTATAAAATCACGTTTAAATCAAATTTCCAAGCAATAGATCCAAACAAATACCCTTTCCTATCTACACCATGATTTTTAATGCATGAGCAATTTATACTGTTTAAATAGCGAATTTATTCCGACTGCCATCCTTTCAACTATCTGAGACTAATTCACTTTTAACACATTTACACTTTCCAATATTAAAACCAGCCGAGTATTCACTACAAATGTTTCATGCGATGTTTTTTCAATAACCCAAATACAATAAATATTAAAATAAAATTTAAAAAATATATATATCGCATTTAATTCCCTAGTTTCTCATAAACTTCCTACACAAATTCGATAAATCATGGCTTTTTTTTTAGTCATAAATTCCTATTATATATATATATATATATAATAGGAATTTATTTATATATATATATACGTATACACATATAACTGCATAAATCCAACATAAATTAGTTAGTTGCTTTGTAATATATAATTAATTTATGCCGTTCTTTAATATTCTAGATTGGTCAAATAGAATAAATTTAGATGTTTTAAAATAATTAAAAATTTAAAGATAACTTTTAAAGATAAAGATTTCAAGAATACTTTTAGCGTAGGATTAGAATCTGCTAAAAAGATAGGATTTCGAAGAAAATAGTAAACAAGATTGCTCCTTAGAAACTTCTATGTATGATGCATATTTATGTAATAGCTAAGCGTTGTACTAAATACATATATAATCCATTTATTACTAGAAACCCAACACAATTTCGTTTAAGAGTTCTTGTAAACAGGATTTTCTTTATTACACGTTTAGACAGCAATCCATTCTCCATCAATTCCTATAATTTTCTATCTAGGATCTACAATAAATAATTTAGTACTTTGAAATTTAGAAAATACAAATAGTAAATTTTTAAATGTCCTAAAGCAATGTTTGTATATATTTTCATCTTATATAAAACCAATGAATAACTGATTTTTTTTTCTTTCTTTCTTTTTGCGTGTAAATTCTTAATGTGCTCCGTCTGTCCATTTAAACAGATCAGAGATCTGAGAGATTTGATAATTTATTCTATTTTAATTCTATAAGTTTATAAAATGTGGCATCTATTTTTAAAAATATAAGAAATTTGAGAACATTGAAGCATCAGCGTTAGTAAATGGTATGCTTCAATGCTTTACACATTGACAAAGTTGGTGCTATAAAGTATTTTGAATATCCATGGTTAGAACGGTATTAATTTTTCAAGCGGTTAAGTTGCTACTTTTTATTTTTATTTTTGGATCCTCCAGGGCTTTCGATACATGTAACCTATTGAAAAGTCATTAAAGGATACACCTACGGGAATTTTTGTATACTTACTTTCTTAACTTTCCTCAATAAAACTGTAGTAAAAATTTAATAATTGAAATTAAAAATAGGACCGTTTTCTTGATAAATAGCAAACAAATTGTATATATTTGAATGCATAAAATAGCTGGTATTTATTGGCAAAGAGTCGTATAGGCAAAGCTGCGCCATGAATGCATATAATAAAATTATAATATTGATGCACCATTTTATAGAATTTATATAATTTTTCCATCCTTGTATCATTAAAAATGCATTCTGATGATTATGAATAGCTTATTTCCTTGAAAAAAAAATACCGACATAAACAAACTTTTAGTAATTTTCTTTGAATTAATATGATTACGAATGAGATTTCAGTAAATTTCTATGAATCCATGTAATTGCTTTAGAATTTTGCACGAGTTCTCCCAGTTCAATGGATTATTTATGCGTTTTTGAGTGTTTTATATTTAATATAATTATGAAAAGATTATAAAATTATAAATGCTCTCTTAAATTAGTGAAATTATAATAATTTTCC